AGGTGTTGATATAGAAAAAAGTTTTCCTTTTACCTTTTCTTTTATTTGTATTATCTTTCAGATATAAATAAAATATATTTTATTTATATGTGAATTTTTACATTTATATATATATAACAAACACACACACACACACAGACATATATAAGTAATTAAATGTTAATATGGTAAAAACTTCTACGTGACGTGTTTCGTGCCAGGAAAATACTTCTTCAGACTAATCGAAGTATGAAACACGTAATTTAGTAATTTTCCAGTGTCATTCATTTTTACACTGTTAGTTCGATATATTGATTAGCATATATCTTTTAAGTATAACCATGTGTGCATGAGAAATGCATGTATATATATATATATGTGTGTGTTTACATATATACATATGTATATACATACATATATATAGATATGTATATAGATAGATATATATATATATGTACATACATATATATATATATATATATATATATATATACATACACATATATATATATATATATATATATATATATATATATATATATATATATATATGTATGTACATGTTGTTTTCTCCTTTAAGTTTAACCATGTGTATATGAGAAAATATATATATATATATATATATATATATATATGAATGCATCTGAATGCCGGCGCACGTGCATTATTCTTCGATACAAATTTATAAACCTGCTTAAAGCACCTACTATAGGAATTCATATCGGCGCCCAAGGATTTTAGCCTCGTGTCAGACTAAACTAGGCTTACGGTATCTGAGTAGAGCATCTATTGTAAAAGTGACTTCGGAAATGTTCATCTCACAAACTTCTATCACGGATTAGTTCGTCGCCGGCTGCTCTAAAACCGAAGCCTTGTGCAGACGATGACACAACCTAAGAGATTATCATGAAGCTGGGTTTATTTTGGCGTACAGGCAGGCCCGTCGCCTGTGGAAGTGCGTAACTCCTGCCCTCTTGAGGAAATTATTTGCTCTCCCACTCAACTAAAAAATGATCTAAACTAATTTTCAGTGTGAAAATTCTTACTCGCGTTTCCACTAACTTAAAGGCCCGTTCCATCTACTCAAATCATTGGCGACGGGCATATACAGAGGGCTATAAATACAGGGTGTGGCAGAAATACATCCCACATATACCCCCCCCCCAGAGATACCTCCTATATAATGGTAAGATATTAGTGACAATGTTAGCTAATGTCTCACCATTATGTGGGAGATATATGTAGGTATTTTTCCTGCTCCCTACTCAAAACAACACCAAATAAGAATAAAATCCTGGAGGACTGAAGACATCAGGTAACGTCAAGCCCTGTATCTTACAAGAGAACAAATGCGTTTTCTCGTCAAAATAATTAGTTACTGGAAAAAAAAAATAGCATCATGTAATTGAATATTTTCAATAAAAAGACACGGTACTCTCTCGTGAGATGTGCTGACGTCTTACATGTTATCGGCCCAGAAAATAGTCTTGGCAAGCCGAATTTAAATTCCGGCCAATACTCTTACATCACTTTGCACTGACTTCCTTGGGTGAAAAAAGCATGAATACATCTCTTCTGCTCACCCCAGTTCATCTGAGAAAAGATTTCTGGATTCAAAACTTTACAGAAGGCAACGAAACGTTTGCTAATAACAAACTGCAGATATTAAAGGGAAGGGAAGCTATGGAGTGCCATGATCACCTACAAATTGAACTGCTAAGAAGAAATAAAATGAAAGGTAATTCTCAAGAAGAATGGGACAAATCCCCATTCTTGAGTGAGAAATTAATTATTTGAAAGGCTGTCACTGTAAAACAGGGGTGGACAAATATGATGACTTTATACGGCTGCAAGGGCATAACAAACGATGTTTTTAATATCCATAAAAATGTGTATTTTTCGTTATATGCTGCGCAAAAGAATAATGTATATAAAAAACAGAGAGAACAAAACTAGAAACCATATATATATTTTGTAGCGAACTGCAGTTCACAGGAAACTCCATACAAAATCAACATTGTGTTATTTCCAGCCATAGGCACCGGAAACGCTCCACCCCACACTGTGCCGATGTCAATGCCCAATCATTGGCACAGTGCTGTAAACTGATGTAGGGATCTAGGTACCTGTGTGTACTACAACTGGGGATAAACATATGACGTCATTTGTATGCTTTACTATAAACGTCTCACGAGATTTATGGAGAATTTATTATTATTGTAAAACGTTTTTCTCAGCAGTAATAAGTGTATTGAACTAATTTTTCATACAATTGTGCCGTCTCTTCACAAAATGTGTTTAATAAGCAAATAAATGTATAAATAAAATGCGCATGTATGATTGTGATTAGTGTTGTCTTTGGGATACACATGTTGTACTTGTGATGCGTCCCACTTTACACCAGGTCGACAATGATACAATCGTCCATAAAACAGTGTCTGTCCAGTCTTGCTCGAAAACACTAATTTATCTCCGGATCAATTTGACCTTTACTAGACATGTTCAGACGTAATGATGGGCATTGCAAACATGAAGCTTGCTTTTTGGTGGGTACGCTCTCGAGCGATGTTCTCTTATTGGAAACGCACAGAGCGATTCAACACGGGGTAAGGGTCAGCAGACTATGACAGACCATTAGCTGCTGTTCAACCCGGTGTGTACATACTTGTGGCATTGTGTCAAACTAAGCTTTGTTAATCTCTCTTTCTCTCTCTCCAATTTACGATAGATAGTCTATAAATTAATAAATAAACGTCTTATCTGTGGACCGATTCCAGTGTTTCGCATAACTTCTGTCCTCCTCATTATCAAAAATTCTAATGGCTTTAAAATACGTAGTTTTACGTATTTTGATTGGTGTTATTGAGTTGCATTATTATTATTAATGACAAATAAATACATAATACGATGTAAGTATAATAGTTAGCCTCATACATTAATTTCTGCTGAGTAGAATTCTATCCTCATTGGGTGCCATCTACTTGTTGTTTTGTGCCAAAATCAAGTTAAACTTAGCATATGTGTGTGTGTGTGTGTGCGTGCGTGTGTGTGTGTGTGTGTGCAGCTAGTCCCTTTAAGTGTCACTGTGTGTATATGGATTTTGTTTGCTTTTGACTATGTATAAATAAATGTTGTGTGTGTGTGTGTGTGTGTGTGTGTATGTGTGTGTGTGCTCTCCTGGTTGGGAATGTATAGACATTTATATACCCATAGGTACGTCGGATTTTACATTAATAACACAAATGGTCCGACCGTCGTGATTACAACTGGGTGCAATAAAGTTACCCAAGGGCTAGGCACGCGCTCATAGGCCCAAACTAGAATCCATACCAGGTTAGTGCAACGTCTTTACACGATGAGCCCTGACACCTACACCAACGCCAGTCTCTGCAACATGCACGGGGCTTCAAATTTGATTTTTTTTTATTATTTTTTTTTTCTTTTTCCTCTTTCTCTCTTGATAGGTATGTGATGAATTTTGAACAGGAACAAAATGTCAATTGGCCTCTTTTAAGCCACAAAAAAAACACACTTTTTTTTTTTTTTTTAAAGAAGGCGTTATTTTCCCCTCCTCCTTTTCTTCTTTTTCTTCATCCACCGCGATAAAAATAAATAAAAACAAACGAAATCTCGTCTTTGTTTCATCTCTTTCTTTTTCTCTTTTTCTTTATTTGCTTACTTTCTTACCGTCTCTTTCGCTCTTTTTGGATTCATTCATTCATTATTCTTTCTTTCTTTCTTTCTTTCTTACGACCGGGGCACGAAACCTCTTTCTTGCTTTTCTTTCTTTCTTTCTTTCTTTCTTTCTTTCTTTCTTTCACTTTAGTTATCATTCTTTCGTTTTATTTTTATATGTTTTTTAAAATTTAAAACAAAAAAAACAAACAAACAAAAAATGAAAGAAAAAAAACAAAAAAAAAAACAAAACAAAACAAACAAAAGATAAGAACAATAATTATTATTAAAACTGATTATCTGTTAGTTTGGTGACGAAAACCCCTTTTGGAAAAAAAATGTTTTTTTGACAAGCAAAAGGAAAAAGAAAATTGCATTATTAAAATACTTAAAAATAAATAAAAATAATTGGTTACACTCCCCCTCTCCCCACCGCCCGCCTCCCAACCATGATACAACCAAAAAAATATCTTTTTTTTTTTAAATTTCTTTTACCCATTTTTTTACTTTGCATTTATTCTTTGGGTTTTTTTTCAGGGGTCATACTTGCATACGTACACACCTTTAACAGACATGACATTCACCGGCCGCAGGTCCCCCGCCCAGCGTCATCGCTTCTGTATGGGCTGCCACCATTACCGCTACCTCTCCTGATCAGGGTATCAAAAATTCTTCACCAACAAAAATAATTTTTAAAAATTCGTATGAGTTACTGAATGGAGGTGCTGTTAAAATTTCTTAAAAAGAAAATTAATCCCTTTCTTGTCTTAAATGGATGTTGATGTGGGGAGGGTGACAGTATTTTTTCGTTTTTCCAATATTTACCGATACTTTTTTAAAGATAGTTTTTTTTTAGTCTAAAATGCTGCCTGATATAAACATCTCTTTTATTCACTAAAGAAGCAGTTTTAAATGTTTTTTTTTTCTTTTAACCCTTTTTAACGTGTTATTCACAACAAACCTTTATAGGAGAGGAGTGGTGGGTGGAGAAATAGGGGCCACTTTCTTTCTATAGCTTCTTTCTTTCTTTCTTTCTTTCTTTCCTTCCATCCTTCCTTCATCATTTTCGCAATTTTTCTTATGAGAAAAAGAATTCATTTTTTTTTCATTTTCATTCAACTGCACCTTCTTCACTCACAATCTTTTTCATATTTTCCTTCTTCTCCAAAAAAAAAAAAAAAAAATATTATTATCATTGTTTTTAAATCCAATTTTATGTTTTGACATTTCAACATTATTAATATTATTATTATTATTATCATTATTATTATTATTATTAATATTATTATCATACTTTTTTTGTATTTTTTCTTTTTCATTTTTTAATTATTATTATTTTTTTTTTTTTACACTTTGTGGTCCATATTTTTGTATAAGTCTGGCCCTTGTGAGGGTTTCTGTAATTTGGGTCCGTGCCCCTGCACGTGACCATGACCGTGACCGTGCCCAATACTTTCTGCCGTGGTTTTCTCTGACAACGGGTACCCCTGTCTGGGCCGGTCGGAATGGGGCACCTGCGGTAGTGAAGGCAGACTTTGAGGCTCTGGATCAGGGGTGGGAGCGGAGGTTTTACGATCTTTTAGCTTTCGGGGCTGGGAGTAGAGTAGTGCCGGGTTGGAGTCCGCTGCCATTGGGGGTTTCACACTGCTCGGCATCTGAGAGTGATCGGGTCCGGTGATGTGGCCCACGTCGGATTTGTACACGCACTTGGAGGTTGTGCCCGAAGAGTCTCTGGGACAAGAAAATGTTTGTAGAACTAGTTTCTTTTGGGTAGGTTGATCGGTCAGTGAGGTGCATTGCTGATTATAATATCGGGAAGTGTATAGATCTGAAAGAGAAAATAAAATTTTACAGATAAAGAACAATAGGTGCTATTGTATTGTGTTATTGCCTGTTATGAATAATCAAGTCTCCCCTTGTTTTCTCACTCTCCTCTTTGAGAGAGCTATTTCTGTTTACTGGGACTATAAAAGGACACTATATGCTAACCTTCTACTCTCAGTTGAATAAAGCTTTCTTAAAGTCTACACCAGCGTACTTTTGTCATTACAGTAATATTGTAATAGATCGCATACAACAAAAAAAGCGTTGTAGCAGACCGCATATTACAATAGAAACATTGCGGTAGACCGCATACAACAATAGCACCAGACAATATATATCCCATGTTTCAGCACTAAAGTCGTACCTCTTCAGTTTTAGTGCTGAAACATGAGAGCTGATTTTTAACATGTTTTGTTTTAATCTCATATAATAAATAATATTAAACTCTACTCTGTATTGAGCCCTTTAAATAAAAAAAATGCTACAGGCAGTGGAAATATACTCAATTTGTTCTGATCCCATATCTGGATTGTATATATATATATATATATATATATATTTGAATAAAAGACAGACCACGTTAAGATTCCATGTAATAAGCTATTTCACCATAACCCCTTTAACAGGGTTCTGGATCATCAGACTTTACTTCCAAAAGCTGAAATGAAGAATGAAAAGCTTAAAGCTTAAGACGATATAGGTATGTGGTTACAAATAGGGGGTTGAGACATGTGTAGATAAGAAAATATAAAAGAAGGGCCTAAAAACAACCACGAGTTTACTTAATGAACAAAAATCAAAAACAATCACAGGTTCACTCAATGAACAAAAATCAAACGAATAAATGTCAATCTAACAAGCTATAAGATAAAAGCTTTAGTGGAAAAAGTACTAAGTATAAATTGGATTACTTTTTCAATGTTCTGCCTATAGATCTTTCCAATCGACTGCTTCATAGGAAATACCCAAAACTCCACTGAATTTCGAATTAATTTCTTCGTAGATTGTTTTTAAAATTTTAGATATTTATCAAACCTTAACCTCCCAAATATGCACATTAAAGTAACGCGAACTGACAGCGTCTAGGAATTTGAATGAAACCTGTCGGATAATTTATTGGGGCTATTATAACGCGTCTTCCTCAATGTAGCCTTTATCGCCCACCCCTTAACCACCTTTATCTAGAGACGAGACGCGTTAGATTAGAGCAACATCCAGCCGATACACTAGGGTTAAAATAGAAAACTAAAATGATACATATGACACACTCACATCCTCTCTCCCACCTCACTTCCTCTCTTCGTTAACTTTGCGTATTCTTGATGAGGTCCGTAAAAAACCTGTGAATTTTCTTTTCATTCTTCATTTCAGCTTTTGGAAGTAAAGTCTGATGATCCAGAACCCTGTTAAAGGGGTTATGGTGAAATAGCTTATTACATGGAATCTTAACGTGGTCTGTCTTTTATTCAAACATATATGCTCTGAATCTTACATTGAGCTCTCTGGATATCATCCTCCTCAGGTCTATCCATCCGGATTACCTAAATTTGAATAAACTAAATATATATATATATATATATATATATATATATATATATATATATATATATATATTACTTTACAAAAAATGTGTCTCCTTTGTTCTGCCACTAAAAGTTTCACGCGTACGTTAGTGCACATTCTTCAGGCAGTCGACACTGCTTGCTCTAGTGCTGGCGTCAAAACCCTCCAGGACGAACCCCAAATATATAATCCTTGATAGTGAACTCATTGACCAAACTCACCGTGCTGATAATGACAATCACAGATCTAAAAACCGACCCCTCTCCCCCCCCCATAAAAAAAAAAATATAGAACCGAAACACGCAAAAATAACATCTCTAGTTCAAAAAAATGCTCTACAGTCTGGGTGAATCCAAGTAGGAGTTATTTACTTTATTTAATAAGTAAATAATGTTTGCTCTGCTATAAAGCGTTGAGCACTTTTTGTCTTCTTAATTTCTATTTCTCTATGTCTTAGTGGGTATTTTACTTAGTAAATAGTTATATGTTTAAAATTTTATTCTGCTGTGAACGTTTCATTCACTAAGAACTAGGTTGTTTCGATGATGTTCTTACTGAACGAAACGATGACAAAATGGAATAAACTGTTAAACATCCAAATGATTTTAGCATACTGTATCTTATATATATTTTATTGATTAGGATTAAAGAACGTATATTTAAATAAATACTGTATATACGAAGTAATGTTCATTCATAAACTGCAGTAAACTTTCATTAAAGAAACTTACATCTTAAATAAGAAAAATAACACGACAAAACCAATGTTTTTTTTTTTTTTTTATTAAAGCCGATATACTTTCTTAAAAACACGTTCATTAAAGAAACCTTTTTTAATGCTAAATAAAAAAAAAGTAATAACAATAAAAACCAATATTTTCTTTACCTCAAGAAACTATTGGTTTTGTTAAATAATTTTTAATTTTCCTTAAGAAACGATTTATTTTATTAAAGCAGATATTTTCTTAAAGATAATATAAGTTTTTTTTTTATTGTATTTTCTTGTGATTAAAGAACATTATTATTCATAAATATTAAATGTACTGACGAGGTAATGTTTAGTCATAAAAATGCAGTATATATTTAATTTTACGAGGTAATATTTTATTATTAATTTGTATATTATATACATTGCATTATAAAAATATTATTATTGTATAATTTTATTAAAATGATTATTAAAATTATAAATAATATTAAAACTTCAAACATAAAAATATGATTTATTAATTTTATTATGTTCATTTTTATGTATATTGCTTGTGGTGAGCTTTGGTCCGGTTTTCAATATACTCGTAGGCATTTTTCCGACCCTTCAAAAAAACATCTGTTTTTAATTAAAGGAACCTATTTATTATAAAAATTACTTAATGAATAAGTGCGTGAAATTTCATTAAAATTGGATAATTCTCTTAATTTAAAAAAACAATTCGGCCGTTTTAAATCATTTTCAAATTACCACCCCCTTGCTGATTCTGTAAGTACCTAATAATAATAATAATAATAATAATAATTTAGACCTTGATATCAACGACAAGATAAAGGATCTAGACCAAAGTGATACATACAAATACGTAGGAATTAATGAAGGAGGTGGAACGCAAATTCAATTATGAAGAAAAAGATCCGAAAAGAATATTATAGGAGAGTGCGTTTGATACTAGAAAACTTAATGTGGCCAATAAAATAAAGGCTATCAACACCTTAGCTATACCCGTAGTAAGTTACAGCTTCAACATTATTAAATGGAAGTTGAATATTAAAAGATTGGACACTAATACCAGAAAAATGCTTATCCAAATGAGGATGCACCACCCATACGTACGTAGCAAGAGCTTTAGGAGGCCGAAGTCTAATCCAACTCGAACTAACTCTAAAAATTACAATAATCGGATTGGAAGCATACCTCACAAAAAAAAAACAAAAAACAATGACCCTCTCTTACAAATAGTAAAACACCAAATCCATTCCATCAACAAAGAAACTGCACTCTTCAAGTAACAGCTTAATATACCTGAAATCTTACCAACAAAAAATGAAGCGAATACCATCTACGCCAAACGCATGAAATAGAAAGGAAATCAACTTTGGCCAAATGAAATTACAAATAAATAAATAAATAAATAAAATAAAATAAAAAAAAGTGGGAGGACAAGGCGTTGTATGGCAAATACCTAAAAAGAACGAAAGAAGCAGATGTGGACCAACAGAAAACAATATGACTGACTGAGGAGCATCAGGTTAAAAGCTGCGACAGAAAGCCTAATTATTACAGCTCAGGACCAAAACCTCGCAAACAGATCCCATCACTGTCACATAATCAAGGATGGAACTAACCGAAATGCAGGATCTGCGGAAAATATAAAGAAACTGTCGACCATTATTTCAGAATGCTCAAAACTAGAAAAAAAAAAAGAATATACCCAGACGTAACATGGTAGCGACATATGTGCACTAGAAGATATGCAATAAGCACAAAATCGAAAGTACTGAGAGACTGTATGAGCAGCAACCAGACAATGTTACCCAAAATAATGATGTAACTATCCTCTGGGACATGTCAATTCAAACTGATAGGTAAATAAAAATGAACAGACCTGATATTATCATAAAAGACAAGAAATTCACAAAATGTATGCTTATTGACATAACAGTACCATCTGAGAGAAACACCGCCATGAATATTATCGAAAAATTGTTCAAATACAAGTACCGGGAAATCGGGATTAACAGGATGTGGGCAATGGAGACTGAGATTGTACCAGTAGCAATTGAAGCTTAAGGGCTCGTGGGAAAAGGAATTGACAATTTTACTAACAGGTAACATCAGCATACAAGTTGCCCAGAAGATCGCCCTACTAGGAACATTCCATATACTAAGAAAAGTGCTATCAGTTAAATGAATATTCTACTATAGAGACTAAGGACCATAGTTTGGATCTGGCTCTAAAGGATACAAAGAAGGAAACATAAAATATACAATAATAATAATAATAATAGACTGTATTCAGTAATAAAGGAAGCCAACAATTTCAAAATAGAGTTTGAAATGGGTAAAGAAATACAAGTAAAGCATAAGACACCGACTGAAGCTACAAAATACTTAAAAAGAAAGCAAAGGCAACCGACCAGATACGGAAATGCGGGCAAGATAAACCGCTTCATGGTCAATACTCTGCCCGTATCAAACAAGCCGACGTAGACAAACTCCGGACCCATCAGTGGCTACGCAGTGCAGAGTTAAAAACTGAAAGAGCTTTATCTATCTAAAATATGTGTGATTTTTTTAATTGCCCAGTAGAAAATGTTATGATGCCATATGATGTCGAATGACAGTGATATATAATCTTCACTTTCTGGCCTAGGCAGAATTCAAAAGTTTGCGCGGCCTTCAGAATGTTGAATTATTGTCTACCCTATAACCTCATATTGTCATATTTT